ACGGCAGACGGAGTCAACCCATACTTGGTGTGCAGAACCCAAGGGCCTGGCTGGATGTCGTGTGCTGAACACGATAACGATTTCGGGGGTGGCGACTAGCTTCCATGGAAGGCCACCACGTCTCACTGCGGTGGAAGGGGCAGTGACCGGTCCGTGAGGATTATTCCGGACCACGGACATCTGTGTGATGAACCAGATGCTCGAGATCTCCGACGCGGTAAACCTCAGCCAAGGCGACGGCACGGCTGAGCGTGAAAGTAACATCTTGACGCGAACCCTGGAAGGCCAACCCAAATCTCTGTACTGAAGCCTATCCGGAAACTAAATGTGCTGTATAGCACGTGGTACTTAAACCTGGCATGTAAACTAGTGTTATATGTTTCAGTGTGGAAAAGTACGTCACACTAGTAATGAAATATACTATTCTTTCTATTATATACCAATTTTTATTTTTCATCATGCCAAACTGAGAGGACTATAGCATCTTCATGTGATCATCAACTACTCTCAGTGTACGAAAAACTAAAAGGAAAAAACTTCAAGTAGCAAACTCTATGAGAGGTTGACGTAACAGTGTATCTTTAAATAAAATAAAACTGGGTCACATTAGGTGTCAGTACTAACTGCTACTAGCAAGCAACTAATGCGAGAATATTATATGAAGCCTTTGAGTAATTTGAGTAATCCTCTATTTGCCACACTTAATTGCTACCTTGCAGGCTTTTCACTCATTATATTGTTTGTAGCATTAAATAAGTAGTACATTAATTAGCATTAGCAGTAGGTGTTTGTGTAACTTCTTAGTGATGGAAAGACTTCTCTTATTTATTTACTACATAGGTTAAATTACTAACTTCAACCAAATGAACTTTTTTATTCTTTAATGTTTGCATTAATGCCAATTAACAATAATGAGAGTTTTAATTGAGATTCTGATTGTAATCTTTTTGAACATATTTTAAATTATTTTGTGATAATCCAACAAAATATCCGCAATATGAGGAAAAACTTTGAAGAATTTATTCTTTATCTCCAGTCACTAGATAAACTGCCTGATATCATAATTCTTAAAGAAATATGGATTTCAGATAGTGAGGTAAATCAATACAAGCTACCTAAATATAATATGTTTGCAAAATGTAACTATTTAAATCGAGCTGGAGGAACTGTGGTATTCGTGGCCGAACAGTTCTTTTGTTCGGTGTTTCCGGACCTAGGCATTGATACAGCAGACAGCCTCTACTTACAGATTAAAATAGCGGATAATGTTTATTTTGATTTTATTGCCATTTATCGTTTACAGGAATTTAATATTGATACATTTTTAAATGAATTTGAAAATGGTTTAGGTAAAGTAAAAAATAGGAACCTTATTATAATTGGGGATATGAATTTGAATATTTTAGATAATTCTCGAATAACAGGCCTATACAAGCTTAAATTAGCGAGTTTTGGTTTAATTTCACTTGTTAACCAACCAACCAGAGTTACAATAAATTCAAGTACCTGTATTGACCACGCACTTGCGAGGTGCGATATAAAACTACATTTAGAATGTGTTAGCGGGGTGGTCGATGTGGGAATAACTGACCACAGAATGACCGTGACTGGTCTTAAATTCAATAATTTAGTAAATAAGAGCAACTCTAGTAAGCAGTGTTTAAAAATATTGGATTTCAACCTATTCAAAAGTAAAGTGGAAAATGTGTCTTGGGAAGAAGTTTATTCGGCAGATAATGTCTCTATTGCCTTTAGTAGATTTATAAAAATATTTAAAAATTGTATCATTACTTCATATAGAGATAATAATATCAAGCGAGATAAAGTTAAAATGAAACCTTGGATGGATACAAGAATGTTGGATATGATTAATTCTAAAAATAAACTATATAAACGTAGTAAAAATAGCCCTCACAACTTGGAAATAAAACGTAATTACAACCAGTATAGAAATAGACTTCTAAATATGATTAGGGAAACAAAAAATAGGTATTATAGTGAGTGAGTTATTAGTGAGGAATAGCCCCAAGCCCAAAAAGCAATGGGACACTATCAAAGAGATCATAGGCGAGAAAAGTAAAGCTAACCCATGCATATCCTTAAAAGATTGAACTAATCGCTGATCCGATAAGTGTAGCTAATGAATTCAATACATTCTTTTGTTCAATAGCGTCTGAGCTAAGATTAGGTATTGCAGGAGATAAAATGCATTCCGATAAAGAAAACGAATATCTAGAATTATTCCGAGTTCAGCCTATTGCTAATACTATTTTCTTCTATCCAAGTGTAAATCAGGAAGTGCGTGATATAGTTAAGAATTTAAGTAATCGAAAAGCTCCTGGGTATGACGATGTATCACCTTTAGTTGTTAAGTTATTTATTGATAGTATTATTGATGTGTTAGTGTATTTAATTAATTCTAGTATGAGTTCAGGAGAGTTTCCAAACGAGTTAAAAACTGCTATAGTAAAACCTTTATTTAAAAAACTTGATAAATTGGACCCTTGCAATTATAGACCAATATCATTGTTGTCAATCTTTTCAAAAATATTTGAAAAAGTTATTAAAGTTAGGCTAGTTGGCTTTCTAGAACGGAAGAATTTTTTTAGCAAGAATCAATATGGGTTCAGGCAAAAGTTAAGTACCGTACTAATTCAGCTTTGTTAAATTTTATGGGGCAAGTTTATTGTGGAATAAATGAAGGCAAGCAATGTGCTGGTATTTTTGTCGATGTTATGAAGGCCTTTGATACCGGTGACCACGAGATTTTGCTGGGCAGAATGCAAGAAGCTGGAGTTAGAGGGGTACCACTGTCTTGGTTTGCCTCATACCTAAGTGGCAGGACTCAACAAACTAGGATAGGTGAAGTAACAAGTGAGCGAGGTTCTATCAAATATGGAATCCCCCAAGGTTCAGTTCTCTCTGGACCATTGTTTTTAATATATGTAAATAGTTTGTGTAACGGTCGTTTCCGAGGGAAATTGATAGCATTTGCTTTGTTTTACAAGGCTGACTCAATTGATTTACTTAAAATTGATATGCAATATGGTTTAGACACTCTGAGGTGGTGGTTTACCAATAATTTTATGATAATGAGTCCTAAAACTAAATACATATTATTTAATCTTACAAGGCATATAAGTTTTCCTAGCTCGATGAAATATCATGATATGAAATGTATCATTACTAATAGTGTTTGTAGATGTTTAGATATCGAACAAGTCCAAGAAATAAAGTATTTGGGATTGGTTGTACATGAAAAAGTTAATTGGAAAAGTCACATTGGCCACTTGCAGAATAAATTAATTAAGTATATTAGAGTGTTTTATATGTTATCTTTTGTTTGTAATAGACAGCTACTCAGAACAGTTTATTATGCATTAGTGAATTCTAAGATGGAATATGGTTTAACCGTATGGGGAGGAACTTATTCTATAAACTTAAACCCAATAATAAATATTCAAAAAACATTTGTTAGAATAATTATGCACAAGAAAAAAACCGAACACACTTCCCCATTATTCAAATCGTTAAGGATTTTACCACTTAAAAACTTGTTCGTATTTAAAGTGTACGTCTGTTTTTTGAAAGAAGTGGAAATAGGAATGATCAGGAAACTTATAGATCTGTGAATTTATGAAACCGTTATGACATAGCAATCCCCAGACCAAATTTAACTCATTTTAAAAAGTTTTACTTATATATACTTAGCCCCGAAATTTTTTAATAGTTTGCCTACAAGACTTAAAAAATGTAAAAACAAAAACAAGTTTATTGGTGATTTATGGAATTATCTTTTAGAAATAGAAAATCTATATAATTAATACGCTACATGAAACTTTGTCGGTTGAACTCCTCCGCCATTTCTTAACCGATTTTATCCATTGACGTCTCATTGGAAAGAGCGTGTCGCGTAGATTTGCAAACTGACCTTACATTTTTTTTTTAAAGTCCCTTGGGCTCTGCCCCAGTGGCTTTGAAAGTTCCCATGATATCCTTATGAAGAACATAATTGTTTACATTTTGATCAGCTGAATAATTTAGTTGCTGTTATTTATTTTTCAATTCAATGAAACGCATTGAGTACATTTATTTACTATTTTGAGTTTGTGTAAACATAACCCCCAAGACGGATCGTGTTAGTATGGTTGTATCTTAAATTTGTGTATCTATCGCTGTTTTGTGTCGCTATGACAGATCGTGTTAGTATGATTGTAACTTAAATTTGTGAATTAAACGTTGTTTTGTATAGCTATAATTTGTTTATTTGTTGTTTTTTCTTTCAAATGCCTCCGACGCTACGACAACGAAACATAGACAGGAGGGGTAATCGTGATAACGACCGCAGCTACAGAACAGTGACACGTAATAGGCTCAACTATTAGGTTAAAAATGCGCCCTAACACTACCCCAAAACAACTTTTCGTTCTCAATTGGCCCTCTATCAATGACCTGTGTTGCCTGTACAGCGAGGCATTCCGAGTTACACACCGCTAATCTTTGAGTTGACTCTTTTAAATTCATTGTAAAAATGACTGTTATTCGTTTTGAAATAACTCCTATAATACTTTGCAATTGCTCGAATTCGAGCAACATGTACACTAGTATTGATTATATCTTTTACTCAGTTGTGTAGGACCTAATAGAATAAATAGTTTTAATAATATGTACCTAGATAGAAATATTTATAAATCTTGGAAATGTTTACAATAGTGTTTATTTTTAAAAAACAGATAATGTGCAGAAGTTTTCATGTTTTTTTTTGTGTTTATAAATGAATAGAATAAAGAATAATATTTGACCGGTGTGCCGCCCACCATTACTCTTTGAGTTTATTGTATCAAAGTAGATTGTGCAAATCCACCAAATCAGGTTGATTAACCTTGGTGGTTATTGTTTCGTGAACTGTAATATTTCTGAATTGTACAGTTCTATGTAATTTTGAAACAATAAAGATTTTTCTAATAATAATAATAATAAATGTCTATGGTACAGCTCACCTGATATACTCCAAGCAAGAGAAGGAAGGAAATGGTTATCTGAGCAATGGACAAAGAAAAGTCCAGGATAACTGTCATGAACAATTCAAACTTTAGCCCTGAAATAATGCAGATATATTAGGATTGTGCTTTAATGCATAATTAACTGATTGATCAGACTTTAAATGCAATTTTGTCAAGAGAAACCCCAATAGTGTTCTGTGCCAATTTTGTTCTAATAACATATACTTGTACTCAAATCTCTATTTAAGATCAGTAAGGTTTCAGTTGCACTACTTTATGATCATTCTTCAGTTCTCCTCTCCCTCAACCTCCCAACTGATAAATATTTCTTGGGCAACAAAAATATCTAAACCGATATACAAGGCAACAACATTTTTAGGTACCTTATATTTTAAAACAGTTCAAATGGTCAAAAATGTTTTCTGTAGATAGTGAGTGTGATCCCAATGCTTTCCCTCAAATCTTCCTAAAATTAAAGACCTGGTTATATCCCAGATAGCAAAAAATACTTGATTAAAGCTTGAAACAAGTTTGATTTGTCAAATCTGCAAACTTGAATCAAGTTTGCTCGGATCGGTCCGTAAACTTGATTCAAGTTAATATCATGCGTCGAAGTTCCCGCTCTTCCAGTTTGAATAAAACTTGAAACATCTAATTTGAATAAAACTTGAATTTTCTAATTTGAATAAAAATTGAAACATCTAAGTGGAATAACACTTGAACTATCTAATCTAAATATAAATTGAAAAAATACTTGATTCAAGCTTGAAATAAGTTTGGTTTGTCAAATCTGCAAACTTGAAGAATCGGGTTTGTAAACTTGATTCAAGTTAAAATCATGCGTCGAAGTTCCCGCTCTTCCAGTTTGAATAAAACTTAAAAGATCCAATTTTAATAAAACTTGAAATATCTTATTTGAATACAAAGTGGAAACATCTAATTAAATTTGAATATAAATTGAAGAGTACAAGAAATAATTCTTTTTTAGCCCCTTACAAGCTCTTTTTTATTTCTGAAAATTTAATTCATATGCTTTTACCAGGATTCACACAGTCTTGACACATTTAATACAAATTTACAATTTAATACAAATAGTTTTTAGGTTGAGATGCATAACACAATATAATCTTCCAATATTTCAGATAATTTTTCACAATCACAACATAATCTAATAACTTCAATGCCTCTAGTTGTTAAATGCCAAGACTCTTCTCTAAATAAAAAAGCGAGATACCATATAAAGAACTTATTTCTATAAAAGAGCAGGAAATCATGAGTTATTATAGTTTTCAACCCTACAATTTTACATATTATTACTATTCAGTACTCAGTAATTCAGAATTCTTTGAAATTAAAAATAAAACAAGAGGTAATTTGTCTAAATAGATTTATATTGAAGATTTACATAACACATTTACATTTGAAAATGCCTCGTATCTTTAACTTTCAACAAACAATTCCCTCAAAAATTCCTCATTTTACGATTACTTTAATAATACAGAGTAAGTTATCTATTCAACAAGATCTTCATCCCCATTGAGTGGAACTTCTTCCTCACTGTCCACAGTGGCAGGTTATTTCCCTCTGAAAAAAGTCAAAACAAATAGAATCAATATTAAATTTAAGGATAATTAACCAAAATGTTTGTATCTGGTATAAAAAAATAGTCAAGTAAGCAACATTTTAAACTAACACAGTTTAACTCAGAACCAGTGTAGGCCTGTTTAGTGAAAATTAATTTATTCCTACAATGATAACCAATACAATATATGATCTTCCCAATAATATTATTAATATTAATTATTAATATGTATAAATCACAATTACATTTTTATTGTCAAAAAATGCTAGACACAAGCCCAGGATTGTTTTCACATTACTTCAGGCGAGACCTAGGCGTTGCGGCATTATCACTTCGATAAAATAAAGGTGAATCGGCGGGATTTTATATTTTATCGTTTAACTAGTGATAGTTCTTGGTTGGTTATCCTAAATATAGCCAAGACATTTGTTACAAATCTTGCTCATACTTTACAAATATATATAAGCTTTCATTTACTGTATAAATTAACCTAGGTAAGCCCAGCATTGCTATGAAACATGAAAACCCCTCTACAAGAATAAAAATACTAGCATTTTTCTTTTGGCGAATTTCCCTAGGAAGTAGCTATTACCGTAGGTGGCATGGTAAGACCTAGGCCCGGGACCGATTTACTTTTTCATTTTGGATGTCCCCAGAGCCCAAAAACACCATTCGTTCACATCTTTATATATGTATATATAGATTTAGGGTATGTATATATATGTCCGTGAACATGATAACTTGAGTAAGTTAATTTTTGTCCGATTTTGATGAAATTTGGTTTGAAGGTGTAAGGCGGGATAAACTTAAATAAGTTCGCGAACCAGCATCATGATCGGACCATGGGAATGAGGTTTACGGGGGGGGGGGGGGGGGTTATGGGGTGAAAATGGGTTTTTCTAATTTTTGACCCTCTAAACACAAAATTTCCCAATTTCTCTCCAGATATTTTTAAAGAGCTTAAAAAAACAAATGATTTAGTATATCAAAGTGTTTATGTACAATTATTGGTTACGGAGAAAATAAAAAAAAATTATTTTTAAATTCCCATGTCATTCTTATGGAGAATATTGTAAAATGTTGTAGTTTGCTTGTTTATGGATATATTTTGACCAAACTTGGTAAATTTATTTATTTAATACAAAGTTATTAATATTTTACTAAAAAAACACACTTTTTTACCCTCCTTGTAGCAGCAAGCCTAGGTACTCATTAAAGATAATGTTAATTAAATACATATAATTGAAAATCAATTCAGGCAAATGGAAATTCACTTAGTCGGCAGGTTTGCTGCGGCGGGGGTATTTTTTAGCTTATACAGTACATGAGCAATCATAATGATAAACAATAAAAAACATTTTTATGAAAAACCATTATGCAGTAGACTCCTTTTTACCTGAACACCTAGTAATCAGACTGCACTCAACAGATATATTTCTTAAACCAGACAATTTTTATCAGTACGGTTTAACCACACTGGATCGGCAGGTGGGCTGTACTGAGACAACTTGTCTTGTAGGATAGATTTGAGACCATTCATCACATGTCTAAAGATCAAAAGATTTAAAAGGTAGGCCTATAAAGTCTTGGCATCTTGTGTTTTGTTTACAGTAATTATCCCAAAGTGTCTATAGTTTGGCTATTTTTACAGTATTAACATTGTTGGCTTATATATTTTGCATTAGACTTTTATCATGTGACAAGTATGAGGGCACGTCAGTTTCAACTGTCTCCTCCCCTGTATAATTGAGTCCACTCCACTGTACAGTATTATTAAGGTACATTGTCTCTGAAGCGACTCTTGCGATAGTAGCTGAGCCATTGTAGCTCAGCGATAGTAGCTGAGCCATTGTAGCTCAGCGATAGTAGCTGAGCACTGTTTAGCGTTGTTTCAAATGGGACCATTGTCCTTGACGCGACTGGAGCGGCTAGCGGCTGAACACAGCGACTGTAGCGGGTCTGCTCTGAGGGGAGTCAGAGTCGCAGTCGCTGAGCGATTTGTTTTGTTTATAGACTTGTTCTGGTCGTAATGTCTTCAAAGAATACAAAACTGCTTTTTACCCCTGAAGATATCAGATATGTACATAATATTAAATCACTACTATTATAAATTATAAATTAGTACTTTTTAAAAATGCAACGTTTTTAAACGCACTAGGCCTATGAAGTAAAAAATAATTTGTGGGGTGCATGCTGATTTACAATTATCTTTACATATTACACTATTATTATCTATTGCATGCACCCCACGTTTTTAGTTTTAAATCTTTTAAGTACCTATGTATTCCCTCCACATATTTATACATTATTTTTACTTGTGCATTTAAAAACGCAACGGTAAAAAAACAACATGTTTTTTGGTTGTCTGTCAAATTTAAGTATTTACGGCTGACTTCAAAATGTAAACATGGAAAATTTGGAAGCCCATGGGGCTTAGCCCAAGGAAAATATAAAAATTAAATGATATAGTATTACATTATCATCCATTTGTGAGCTGTGTTCTCTAGTTTCATTTCTCTAGCTCGTCGGGAAGTAAGTATTTATTGAGATTTTTGTACCGGACAAGAAAGCGAGCTAATAAAAACGTTTTAAAATTAGGAGGTGTCGTGGCACTCATAGCACCAATTCACTCGAAAGTCAGCAAACTAATATACAGAATCGCTCTAGAACAATCGCTTCAGGGACAATGACATGGTTAGCTACTATCGCTGAGCTACTATCGCTCAGCTACTGTCGCAAGAGTCGCTTCAGGGACAATGCACCTTTAGGCTACCAATGGAATTCTATTAATGATGAGTTGAATAGTTAGTTGGTGAAAATTTTTTATCCTTACCTTCTTTCACATCTGGTTTTGGCTTGTTGAAGCCACTTAGCAACAATGCTTGTAACTTTGGCTTCCGTGGCTTCACTTATGCCGACCATTATCTGTGCAGCAGCTAAAAAAAAAAATACTTAAAATGAACTTAATACACAGAATAGTAGCCTACATTTAACCCCTAAGACCTAAAGTTTGTCTAACCTGGGGTTAGGTTTAATTTCTGAAGCAAAGTTCAAGATTTTACTTTCATATTGTCCTTAATATTTGAATAAATCAACTGTTTGACAAGTTCGCTACTGATCGGCGCGTACATGCGCCAGTAGAGCGATCAAAATAGACCGATCCTAATATTCAACGTCACTGATAGACTAAAGGTAGTAAATTAGTCAGTAGCGATTAGTAAACGTTCATTTGATTTTTCCATTATCAGCAAGTTTGGTTAGTTAGGTTAAATTATGACAGTTTAGTTTTTATATTACACAAATTATAATTTTTTTTATTTTCTAACTCTCATTTTGTCCGTATTAAAACTCCGCAGGTGAAATTACAGTTGTGCCACCCCCTACAGTGCCTATCTTAACCGCTTTTCTGGTTAAAAATAATCCAGCTGTAGGCCGATGTGTATAACATTATTTAGAAGGTCTTTATTACATAGCCTGTGTCTAAACTTAAGCCTAGACCTATAGGTCTATAAGTTATTTTAGTTATAAAATATTTATGTTAAAACACCCAGGTACAGTTCTGCAATAAACCTACAAAAGGCGCATTTTATATCATCAGATGCAATTTTTTTCGATAATTTAACTTAGGTAACTTAATAAAATATTAAGTTAAGTTAGGATTACGTTATTTTTCCATAAAATACTTAAGTAAAGTTATAACTTTAAATATTTGACTCAGATTAAAATTAAGAAAAATGCAAACAAACTTAAACCTAAATAAGTAACTTACTTATTTATTTAGGTTTAAGTACGTTTGCATTTTTCTTAATTTTGATTTTAATTAGTAGCTTAAAGGCCTATTTAGCTTGGAGCAATAACAGCGATAGTCACGTGGCGATAATCGCTCTGCGATAGTAGTTGGGCACTGCTCTGATGGAGTTTGCGTTGTCCTATTTTGCTTGGAGCGACTATCGCAAGAGTCGCTAGATACAGACGCGGACCACTGCCCTGGGTACCAGTCTGAGCGATAATCGCGCCGCGACTGATGCACAGTAGTCTAAAAACATGCACAGAACCTCAAAACAGTCCAGTTCACTCAGTAGGCACATTAATAATACGGGTTAAAATTGCCATAATTTACTTTTTTGTTCACATTACTTTTTCTATTCATGTGTAATTAAGGTTGTACCTATACTGTTTTTGGTTGTATTTGTCCTTACACATTAATTTAATTTTCTATATTTAATTAATTGTAGAAGAAACAGGCAACACTTTATTACCAGCAAACTTTGCATTGTCATTGCTCAAATGGTTGGTATCCTAAATTTTAGGTAATCCTCGTCTATTCAAATTTAAATATAAAGTGCTTGACTGTTCCAAGTTGACTATGTGCTATTTAGTTGTGGGTTTTAATACTGTAACTTATCCGTTTTTTTTTATGAATAAATATTTTTATTTAGACTCCAAGTATTATTTTCCGACATTCATGTACTCTTATTGATTTCACTAATTTGTTTTTATTGATATAAATATATTTTTTTCATTGATATCACTACAGTTTTCTATTTATATCCTACCTAGTGACATCTAGTGATACGTATCCCTTCCAAATCCTACGTATCACTATGTATTTTCTATCGATCGTCTATTGATACTTCCACTAGGGTCAAGTAGAGCCAACTTAACTTCGTCTTCTAACTCCTCCCTGAGGAGATACTTTAAAAAGTTACAACACGCATGACCTCACCATTGTGAGTGCTAGTATTCAAATAACTATGAAAAATCGTGCGACGACCGAAAATCAATCGCTCTAAGCAAAACGGCTGCCGTAACAGCGATAGTAACTGAGCTATAATCGCTGTGCGACTATCTCAACAGTCGCTCCAAGCAAAATAGGCCCTAAGTTAAGTGGACTAAATCAAAGTGAGGTAACGTAGGCCTAATGCCAATTTTAGTTTAATGGAGAAGAAATGTAACTTAGCCTATATCAGAAACTCATCGCCTGAAAGCTGACCAGACTCTTTCTGTGATTAAACGTAGATTACTGCATTTTATCTGACAGTGTCACTAACAAAGTAGGCTTAAATATCGAGGAGGCTACTGAAGTAACTTAGCCTTAAGTCCCTAGATCTAAGTTACCTACACATTAAAATATCATGGTATAAAATATGGCATTAAGATAAGTCTAAAGCCGGGTTTTCCTGACGCGAAAGAGGAGCGCGGAGAGCGGAAAATCGATTAGCATGGCATTCCGCTCCGCTTCTAGGAAGACGAGGAGACAAGAGGAGTTCGCTCTCCCCGCCTAGAAAAACCCAGCTTTATAGAATAGTCTACAACGTAACTTAGGACCATTATGGCTAATCTAGGCTATAACTTACCATAGGCCTAGTCCTAGTCTATACTATAAACAGTGAAGACAATGCCTAAGTTAGACCAAACCACAATAAGTACCTATCTTACAAGGAGAACTTGATATCCAAGCTGGTTAAAAAAAATGTTTTTAGGCATACAAACAACTAAAAAAAAATTAAGTTAGGCCGATAAGTTGACAACAAATTATCGGTCATAGCCTATTTTAAACACACTTCGCCTCTAACCTTTTTATTTTTTTAGGCTAGGCTACTCATTGCACGTAGGCTGACCAACTCAAAAGTGGCTTGCTTTAGGCTTTAGGCTATACTTAGTTCTTTCAAAATTTTCACTGATTTTGAGTTTACTTAACTTAGTTTGTGCTAATAAGAACTTACCTTGATGGATAAGAAGAAATAGGCCTAGATGAAACTTAATAAAAACTCAGCTTCAACATAACTTGAACAACTCAGCACCACAATATCGATATTCTCAATGAGAGAGATTGAGAATTAATCACTCACAAATACAAATTAGTTACACAAAGACAAAGCAATAAAGCAATATGGCCGATGACATGGCGTCTTCAAGTGTCGGTCCCACCGTTAGCGTCGTTCCCGCTCGGAATTGTGGGTAACTTACACTCGACTCCAATTCGAATCCAACGTGATACTTAAAAGCTGTAATTTCAAGCCAACGTAAGCGTAATGGAAATGCATTGTGGGTAATATTACACTCGACTCGGGTTCGAATCTAATGTGATATTTCAAAGCTGTTAATACAAGCAAGTGCAAGCGTAATGGTAGTGTGTTGTGTATACTCGAATCCAGTTTGAATCTAATGTGACATTTCAAAGCTGTTAATTCAATCCACTGTAAGCGTAATTCAAGTGTGTTACACGAAGTTGACACTTGACTCGAGTTTGAATCTAAAGTGACAATTCAAAGCTGTCATTTCTAGTAAAAGCAAGCGTAATTCAAGGCTTGAATCAAGCTTACGTGCTATCTGGGATACACCTCACAATCTTTGTAACTCTATAAAAAATTCTCTATTTATACGAGAGACATTTTTAAGTGTTTTAGCGAATTTCCCTATAGGGAAGTAGCTATTACCGTAGGTGGCACGGTATGACGTAGGGGCCTCTAGGTTCATTGCGTTATGTGGGAGCTTTTATAGTCTGCGGTGCGCCGCCGCAGTGGTGCTGTCATGTGCTGCAAACTGATCAAAACAAACTTAGACCAAAACGGTACTTCCTTGCCTCCTCATTTCACTTTCTGTTGCCAGTGCGGTAGGTAGTTTTGTTTTTCTTTCCTGTGCATCAGTTGACAACATTTGTGTTTGCTTTGATGGAATGGAATCAACTACGGCTGATGACAATGTTGAACAGTTTATGGACGAAATCAAATCGACAAATCTAATGAACACTAGTGGTGAATAGAAATTCCTAAGTTAGTAGATCTGACACCCCCAAATGCCTTGGCTGCCACACAAATATGCGGCGCCCTCCATTGAACACAGTGGCGTGCAGCCCACTGCAGAGTATAAAAGGGGCCCCACTCATCTTGCGATGAATGTTGGCATCTATGTTTCTTGTGCTCAAAAAACATATAGCTGACTTTCCAAGTGGTGGGAGATTCAATCACGTTCAAATTGACTACACAGCGTAGCATACGCCAGCTACAGAACTGCAAATGGGGCCATTTTGTTCACCAATGATGCCAGTAAGCGCCGAACCACCTCGTTGCGGCGTGCATGCGAACTACAAATTTCTCAACAAGTAATGTATTTGTATAATCTTTGAACGATTTTACCAATTTGAGAGAAAAAATAATGATAATACAGTAATGTATTTCTGTTATTACAATACAATAAAAGACAATGGCGCCTCTCTTGAAAGAATTATTAAGATTTGGAGCAAAACTTATTTGTTTAGTCATTAATTGGTCCAATAATTGTAAAAGGATGAGTGTGGGTCATTGTGTAAAAGTATTACTGACTACCATCAACTGTTTCATAGCCTGGATCATTTATAAATGCTAAATGACCATAATGAGAAATGGTTCCTATTTCGAACCATCAAAAATAAGCTACTTACTGTAATCTCTCAGGATCAATTCAATAAACAGACTCTTATTTCTAATATGGTGAGTCGGTGGCTCAGTTGGTAGCGTCACAGACTTTGGGCCCAAGGCAGAAGTGTCGTGGGTTCGGCAATAATCTCTCCCTCAGTAAGGCAAGAGGTTTACTAATCAATTTTAGCTGCTCAGCTACCAAAGCAATGTCAATTATGGTGTTTCACTCCACTTCAAAACTTTATACTCATCCTTTACTCCAGCTAAATGTTTAAAATGTAGTTTAGAAAGTCCTGAACCCACTTACAATCTGGGCAGATGTGTGAGCCCGTATCAGGGTCAGTATAAAGTGGAATGAGATGACACGTGTGGTAATTCTGTAAGTTCATCAGCGGAGACTCAAACATAGCCATGATGTGTCCAATCTGTACAAGGAACAAGCATCATTAAATAGGGACAAATTTGCTGATTCCAAAAAAAGACTCATTTTAGATTTATTGTGTACCCTTGTAGCCCCAAATACTACAAGGAAGATCTCAATACCATCGATCTCTAGAGATCGATGCTCAATATACATTCAAAATGTGCTCATTGCTATGTAACTGCATGTGTTTGCATTGCAACGTAGACACTTGTGTATTCTTGGAGCAACAAATATTACAAGGGGGAGGTCTCAATATACATTCTAAATGTAACAATGTACTCATTGCAATTTACAGTAAGGCTTAGAGGCTAGTTGTTTACAAGGGCAGTCCTAGGGGGCGGGGTCAGGGGGGTCGTGACCCCCCCAAAATATTTTATATACTGTATAGATAAACTATTATACCAGGGGAACTTTAAAAATTTGTATTGCAAATCGTTCTACAAAATTGAAATTCATTGTAGTCTTTACACTTGTGGAGAATGAATGGACTAATTACAAACTCTAACCCAAACCTCGGGATCGTTCGAGTCTGACTATTTTTGTACGTTATGATGAAAAGTAGGGAAGATCAGCAGACGACGGAAGCTTTCAGCCATAGGCCGGGGCCACACTTGTAATTTTTAACCAGCGAGATTGGTTTTTCCGTTTTCACATGTGACGCACGTGGAACAGTTTGACCGTGGCCACACTCGTCTTGACGAGATAGGTTTTCAGGCTAACCAGCGAGACTGATAGAGCATTACACACTAGCAAGAAAAATCGTACCTGTCCGTGATCCGCACTCACCCCCCTCTCCACGCTCACTGCAAAGTAACAGTCAGGTTAAAACTAGAAACGTCCGTGGAAAAATTTCAGCGAGATAAGATGAGTGTGTTCACTCCCATAAGCCGCAATGCCCCGCGACTAGTTTTACATGCAACGCCCGTGGAATGTTAGTAGAGAATACACGTGCAATTCCGTTTCAATCCGACAAACGCGTTCACAGACGTTTTTACTCTAGTGTGGCCTGCCCCATATACCGTAATGTATTTCTCAAACCCACGGGTAACGCCCGTGGAAAAAATTCAGCGAGATAAGATGAGTGTGGCCCCGGCCTATACGGCAACGGCAGTGTCCGATTCTGGCGTTCGACGTTCGCCTCGCCGCACTCTTCTTCTTATTTAATTTTTCGGCATTTAATGTTATCATTCATTTTAACCTAGATGGTTGAACACTTGAATTGGGTATTGGATAAAGAAAAGAAGTTGTATCAATAGTCAAAGCTTGAAAGGTAGTTGAATATTAATTTATCTGAGTTCAGCGATAGGAATTTGTTATTACAGTAATGTAATTCGATGATTACCGTAGAAAATTTTAAAACTTTCAATATTAAATATCATTTATATTTAGAGCACCTGATATCATATCTTACTAATATTATATTATAAATGTGAAAGTTTTTTTGTCTGTTTGTTTGTGTGTTTGAAGGTCAATCACGCATAAGCCACTGGATGGATTGGGCTGAAATTTGGCATGATGATAGCTCACATTCCCGATTAACATATAGGCATATTCTTATCTCAAAAATCCCTTCGGGCTCCGCCCCAGTGGCTCTGTTGTTTCCCATGTTGACCTTATGAGTATTCATATTTAAAGGGAATTAAAGAATTTAGTCAGCTGGTTCAACTAAAAAAGTTGGTTCTATGGTTTTCAAAAGCTTTAAAAAGTTATAAGATTTACCAACAGGGTGCAGCACTATATTTTTTTTTTTGCATTTATGTAAACAACTAATTTGAACTAAGCAGCAACAAACAACTGTGATACGCAATGAGAACTGTCAAAGTAGGATTGTTTACAGTTATGTTTATGCTTTAATGTCATGAATAATTTGTGATTTTTTTAATTTGTAATACTTTATTTTTGTTTATTGTTTAAGTGAAGAGGTAGAACATTATGGCTATGGTAGATGTGTAATACCATAGTATACCGTCAATTTAAAGAAGCAAATTTTATCAAACTTTGTCCTCCCCAATTGCGAACGCAAAGCTTGAGTATAACTGCAAGCCAACCCCGTACGAAGGACGGGTACTCTGCTAGTCTTCTATATATATATATAAAGCTCAAATACCACTAACTCATTCACTCACTCATCACGAAATCTCAGAAACCATAAGACCTAGGAACCTGAAACTTGGCAGGCATCTTCCTTTTGGGTAGTAGACCTGTAGACGCTCACTAAGAAAGGATTTTACCCTCCGACCTCTGGGCTCCGCCCCCCAGTGGCTCTGCTCTGGAGTTTCCCATGTGTACTCATATTTAAATGGAATTAATGAATCTTAACAGCAGTTTCAATTAAACAAGTTGGTTCTGTTCTATGATGTTCAATATCATTAGGCCTAAAGTTATTAAAGGATTACCAACAGGGTGCAGCACTATTATTTCTTTTACATTTATGACAACAGCTATAATTTGCAACCAAAAGGTGAGTGAGCGTAGCGAACGAACTTCAACATAGAGGCGAGTTAGCGTAGCGAACGAGCTCTAACCTAAAAGTGAGTGAGCGTAGCGAACGAACTTCAACCAGGACGTGATTGAGCCATGCGAACGAGCTCACTTAGGCCGGGGCCACACTTGTAATTTTTAACCAGCGAGACTGTTTTTTCCGTTTTCACGTGCGACGCACGTGGAACAGTATGACCGTGGCCACACTCGTCTTACGAGATAGGTTTTTCGGGCAAACCAGCGAGACTGATAGAGCATGCCACACTGGCAATAAAAATCGTCCGTGTCCGTGATACGCACTCCCCCCCCTTCCACGCTCTCTGTACAGGTTAAAACTAGAAACGTCCGTGGAAAAAGTTCAGCGAGATAAGATGAGTGTGTTCACTCCCATAAGCCGCAATGCCCCGCGACTAGTTTTACGTGCAACGCCCGTGGACTGTTAGTAGAGAATACACGTGCAATTCCGTTTGTCAGTCTCGCTGGTAAAACCAGTGAGACTGACAAACGCGTTCACGGACGTTTTTACTCTAGTGTGGCCTGCCCCATATACCGTAATGTATCTCTCAAACCCACGGGTAACGCCCGTGGAAAAAATTCAGCGAGATAAGATGAGTGTGGCCCCGGCCTTATGAAGTTAAACGGGGCACAGCCCGCGGGTTCAACCAGTAGGACGTGATTGAGCCATGCGATCGAGCTCACTTATGAAGTTAAACGGGGCAAAGCCCGCGGGTACAGCTAGTTGAAGAATAACACAACCCAATTAGTATGTTGCTAGCCACGGAACAACAACAAAATGGTAGTGTCTCAGACTAGATGCGGAAGGGACGGATTTAATTCCCGGCAAAACCACTGAGCTATTGGGCACAACCACAAAAACGTTGCACAAAAACTTTATTCTCACGTTGACCCCTTGTAAAATGCCACTGGCATAGACAAAAATTTAGAACACTGAGAACCAACTCTTCAGGCGGTAGCAGTGATGGGACGCCGACGGCAACGTTAGTTGGGTAGTGTACTTTGTATAGGTTAACTGTTGCTGGTTGGGCAGGTGTAATGCAGTCGTGTTGGGTACAAGTTCTTAAACACTTCTTAGATCAAATAAGTTCTCTGGTTCAAAATCTTGGTCTGATTATGGACAATTTCTGTTTAGCATGCACATTGGCACCAGTTGAAAGGGTGTTTTCGTAAATCAAACATGCTTGAATGTGTTGTAATGTTGCGGCATTCCTTTGATATTAATTAAAACCACAAGTCTCCAAAATAAAAAAACATGACATTATACAAGTTTATTTTTAACATTTTTTGACCTTTAAAAAATAAACTGGGAAGCTTGAACACATTAAAATAGGTCCTCAAAATAGCTTAAAAACCACTAACTTTAGCACGTTATTTCCAAATTTTTCTTGGGGGGAAACCCCCGGCCCCCCTCCTTTGCTACCCCCCAGGCCCCCCGGTGACCCCCCCCCCAAAATAATGTCTAGGACCGCCCTTGGTTGTTTAACCCTGCTGCAACCTAACTCTATTTAATATATTCAACATGTAAAAATTTACTCCAAGTAAATGTCATTATAGTATTTATTGTTTTGTGTTAATTCAATGAACTTCAACTTTTAAACAAAAATATATTTTAACAATGTGAAATGCACAAAACATTAACAATACAAAACAATACATTTGTATCTCCAATCTGGGAATTAGCTATATCAAAAAACAAACACTTCAAAATTCAAGTGATTCAAAACAAAATTGTAAGAATAGTGGTGAATGCTCCCTGGTTTGTTAGAATAAACAGGCATTATTATACCGTACATGAAGAGCTAGGAGAGGAGTCTATCTCGACCTTTATTGAAAAAAACCACCTCAAAAATTTCTGAAATCTTAAACAATGTTCCTGGTGCATTAACTTTTCATCTTGGCAAGCAACTGAGAAAAGGAGGCTAGTCGAAGGCTCCCTCAAGATCTATTGGATGAATGAAGATGATTAAAAATATTTCTCTAAAATTGATTATGTTACATGGTGACTCAGGTCAGGTCTATGCGAACCCACAATGTTATTATTGTTAATTTATTGTTTATTTTGTTTCTTCTGAGAATGATGTCATCATTTTTTTTTATTTGTTTACTTTACAATCTGTTCTATTATATATTGAACAATAAGTAAATGCTATGTAATACGAAAAATTGACTTTGGAACATTAAAAATAGCTGTTAAGCACTCTCGACAACAATTTTTTCAATAAAAACACTTTACAAAAATCTGAAGGGCAGGTCCAGAATTGATGGCCTCTTTAAGTCTGTAAATTATATCCATGTTGTTTAATAAGTTAAGAGCTAAATGATTTTGATGAGATCCATTTTGATGTCATCATTGAACCAGAAATAAATGCTGTAAAATAGTAGTTTACGCAACGATTGCGTTAAGTTAGTCTTTACGACACGAGTAGAAAATTTAAAAACTTCTACGAGTGTCGTAAAGACTATTAACGCGAGTTGCGTACACTACTTTACCTACGACAGTTTTTTAATTACTAACAATCTGGTTTTTAATTACTAAAAATCACTACTCATTACTTTTTAGAGAGGTTATGTTTTCGTTTATTGTCAGTGCCAATGAAAGGAAAAAAGTGATGCAACGACTTATTCTATAATCAGCTGATGGGTACAGTTTCTTAACTGGGCTATGCTAATATCGATTGAAACTATCGAATTGAAAATATTGATTAATAATCGATATTTATAAATATTTTATTTATTATCAAATTAAACTATCTTAACCTAACCTAACCAACCAAACTTGCTGATGGTGAAAAAATCGCATGAAGGTTTACTAATCGAATCGATAGTTTCAATCGATATTAGCATAGCCCAGTTAAGAAACTGTAACCCAGCTGATTTCCTGTAATTACGTGTTTGTAAAACTTCGTTAAAAAATACGTTACCTTTTTCAGGGAATGTGTTCTGCTAGCAGCAATCATACCATAAATACTGCTTCAGGACCAGGTACAATTAGGAAAATTTAGCATTTTGTTTTTGACAACTGAATGATTATAGTGAAACAGTTAATTTACAGTTAGATCTCAGCATAGAATATTATAGAATATTATAAACAGTTTGTTCTCTCATTTCCATCTCGTCAACTTCACTTTCACTATGTAAACTCACCTTAAAATATTCATTTTAGGCTAGGCCTATTCTACAAATGTTTAAAGTTAATAAGTTAACAAAGATATGGATTACAAAATGTGTTTTATTTAAACAAATGAACAATTAACATTCAATGAGAAAAGGCTTGACGTTACAATGAAAGGATTGACAATGGTGTATGGGGTTGAAATTAAATTGAAATAAAAAATAAATTTGAATAATAACTTAAAGGTTCAAATAATTTAGATGTGACATCTCTCAGGGTAGGGTGTCGTGCTGGCTTGAATGCTGATAATTAATAAATTTAATAGTGTCCAAATAGGCCTAATTAAAGTGTTAAATTTACACAATCTCAACAATGGAAAATCTAATTTTGGTGTTGTCCAAAAGGTAAGTCCAATTAGTACAAAATTTAACAGAGTTTAAAGAAAAGGTTATACTTAATTTTGAAGATAATGATTGAGTTGAGTCCTCTTGAGGTTTAGGCTAAAAAAAAAAAAAAACTGTAATATAACTTGAAACTGGTCTTCTTGATGAATGAATTTGATTTAGGTAAAATTTTGAGTCCTTCTTCTAACAATTTCAACTTCTCAATGGCTTCCTTCTCTCTCAATTTCAATGTTCACATCACTGATTGTTGAACACCAGGGATCACTTTCACTGCTTCTTAAATTTTGATTCCTTAAGGACTAATTTTGAAATGATATTATAAGAAATTTTGATGTATTGCAATTCTCTTACATATTTAATAAATAATTAGGTTGTGGGCGTTGTAAAAAAAATATAGGCTATGGAATGAATATTATTAATGATTAATTGAACATAAGTTATTAATGAAATTATATAAATTAGGAAAATGAATATTAGGACAGTCTTTCTGAGGAGTGATTATTAGGTGTATGAATAGAAGTTAACATAAAAAAAAAACTTAATACTAAATAATGAATGAAATGACATGAAATATTACAACTAACTGACATTATTAAATCAGTTTAATCTACCTTCCTTTAACTTCCACAAACTTAGGTTAAGAATACGCGAGTATCAACAGGAACCAGGAACAAGTCAGATCAACAATTAAATTGGAATTGGTCAACTGATCAGCTGATTAGTTGACGTTCGAAGCATTACAATTTTAATTATTTTCTCTCAATACTTGAACCTCATTGGTCCGTTACCTGTGTTGATATGAGAAAAACTATGCTGATATGAAAGTAAACAGCTGTTGTTAAGTGAAACTTTTCAATTCTAAGAACTGAACTGAAATGGCTACTTTAAAAAACGGTCGTAGGTAAAAACGTTAACTAAACAAAACATTAATCATACAACTAACCAACAGAAAACAATAAATTATCAACCAATCAGCTGATTTTAAAAGATAGTGAAATACAATAATCAATTATTGCCATTAGGTTGAATATATATCATATATATATACATACCAAAAACATCCATCCAAGTAATTTGACTCCATTTCGTAGAGAAACACAATATAAAAAGTTGTTGACAGTAGGAATATTTATCTCGACCATGATGTGTACTATTTTTAAACACTCTTATCCCATACTCAGGGAACTCCTATAAATAAAAATATTAAAATTAGTGAACTTACATTTTATTTTTTAACAGAGGGGATTCAAAATATAACAAATATTGAAATTAAATGCTTGCAGAAAATAAAGGAAACAATAAAATGGCTGCAAAGCAGAATCTCAATCCGGCCATGATTCTGCAGGTCAACTTTTTTGCTGAAATTCTACTTTTTATGTGTGGGAAATTCCATTAAATGGATAACTGATGTGTCCCCGAAGTCCCTACCGGTACCGACCATTTTAGGGTAGGGTATCATTCCTAAGCAAAAGATAAAGTAAAATATCCCGTTACAAATTTCTAAAACTCTACATCCACCTGGTTTTGCCCTTGGCCGGCCTAGCGCGATTGTAGGCCTACATAATTTATTTTTTGTAAATATAACTGTTTCCGTGTGTGTTTATGTGTAATGTATTATTGACAACGGCAAGTCCAAGAAGATAATGTTTGACGATTTTACTACTGAAGATTTAAAAATGGGTGTTTGCATCCAACCAACCAATCATACGGCCAACCTAACAACACGAAACACCGAAAAAACCAGCAAAGCAGTGACACGCCATTTTCAACCAGAGAGTAATGACTCCAGTTATAATCTATTCATCTCAATGGCCGCGGCCGCTCGACAAAACTTAGTTTATTCTACTGTACTGTAATGTACGACGGCCCTTAAGGGACACTCAGTTTCTTTTTGTCTTTCATTTTACTTCGACTTTTTTCTCGAAGTACTTCGACATTTCTATCTAGTCTAGTTTTACTTCAACTCAACTTCAATACGAATACGTTCATTCTATTCTGTTTCTAATTCTTTCTCTGTCTGCTGTCTCACTGTCTCTTGTCTCTGTCGCACTCAGACCTAATAAAATCCTTGACAGAGTCAATATCAGAAAAGTGTTCCTTCCATGAAGTCCGAGCTTCTTGGTACATATACCTTTTAAGTGTCCGCTCACTTATGCAAATTTTATGCTTCAATAAAAGAATTGCAAGTATTTCAGGCTGTTGAAGGCCTAAACTAAAATATTGTCCAATCAGTTCATTAATGTCATATTCCATTATGTGTCCTAAAGCTCAAACCTCCTTCTATCTGCCAATTCTTATAAAAAATATGTCTACATCAGAAACACCCTTACATCAACAGTTAGTTGGGTTGTGGTTGCCGTAAAATTATAACAAACTATAATAAGCACATTCGAGAATAAATTCGAAGTACTTCGAGAATAATGTCGAAGTACTTCGAGAATAATGTCGAAGTACTTCGAGATCAAAGTCGAAGTAAATGAAAGACAAAAAGAAACTGGAATGTCCCTTCAGGGCCGTCGTAGTAATTGACACTTAAGTCCAAAGTCGTCGTATGTCTTCCACGTGACCACGCAGGGGAGAGTGTTGTACCTTTGACCATCTTAAACCTTCACTATGCCCACCAGTCATAGTGAAATCTACAGGCTGTATAGGGAAAGCTAATGAAACTAGGTCCGTGAAGTTGGCGTACCCATATTAGCGTATCCACTTTTGATCATACCAATCGTTAGTTCATCGTTAGTTCTCGATAGTTCCCAAATTTGTTCGTTAGTTCTCAAAAAATAAAAAAGTTATAGCCGATTATAAGTGGGTACGCTAACTTCACACTTCCGGGTTCTAGCACGCGCCGTTTTCTGAGGAGAAATGTTTACATCTATATACCAATCGTTAGTTCTTCGTTAGTCCTCGATAGTTCCCAAATTTTTTCGTTAGTTCTCAAAAAATAAAAAAGTTATGAGGCATACAAAGTGGGTACGCTAACTTCACAATGTATACAATTTCCAGCGGGAACAGTTTTTTTACTATAAATACCTATATCTATATACCAATCGTTAGTTCTTCGTTAGTTCTCGATAGTTCTCCAATATTTACGTTAGTTCTCAAAAAATAAAAAAGTTAAGAGGCATACAAAGTGGGTACGCTAACTTCACAATTGTACAATTTCCAGCGGGAACAGTTTTTTTACTATAAATGCCTATATCTATATACCAATCGTTAGTTCTTCGTTAGTTCTCGATAGTTCTCCAAAATTAACGTTAGTTCTCAAAAAATAAAAAAGTTACGAAGCATAAAAAGTGGGTACGCCAACTTCACAGTTATAGAATTTCCAGCGGGCACAGTTTTTTTACTATAAATGCCTATATCTATATACCAATCGTTAGTTCTTCGTTAGTTCTCGATAGTTCTCCAATATTTACGTTAGTTCTCAAAAAATAAAAAAGTTAAGAGGCATACAAAGTGGGTACGCCAACTTCACAATTATAGAATTTCCAGCGGGCACAGTTTTTTTACTATAAATACCTATATCTATATACCAATCGTTAGTTCTTCGTTAGTTCTCGATAGTTCTCCAATATTTACGTTAGTTCTCAAAAAATAAAAAAGTTAAGAGGCATACAAAGTGGGTACGCTAACTTCACAATTGTACAATTTCCAGCGGGAACAGTTTTTTTACTATAAATGCCTATATCTTTATACCAATCGTTAGTTCTTCGTTAGTTCTCGATAGTTCTCCAAAATTAACGTTAGTTCTCAAAAAATAAAAAAGTTACGAAGCATAAAAAGTGGGTACGCCAACTTCACAGTTATAGAATTTCCAGCGGGCACAGTTTTTTTACTATAAATGCCTATATCTATATACCAATCGTTAGTTCTTCGTTAGTTCTCGATAGTTCTCCAATATTTACGTTAGTTCTCAAAAAATAAAAAAGTTACGAGGCATACAAAGTGGGAACGCTAACTTCAAAACTATACAATTTCCAGCGGGCACCGTTTTCTGACTATAAATGCTTATATCTATACACCAATCGTTAGTTCTTCGTTAGTTCTCGATAGTTCTCCAATATTTACGTTAGTTCTCAAAAAATAAAAAAGCTACGAGGCATACAAAGTGGGTACGCTAACTTCACAATTATAGAATATCCAGCGGGCACCGTTTTATGACTATAAATGCTTATATCTATATGCCAATCGTTAGTTCTTCGTTAGTTCTCGATAGTTCTCCAATATTTGCGTTAGTTCTCAAAAAATGAAAAAGTTACGAAGCATAAAAAGTGGGTACGCCAACTTCACAATTATAGAATTTCCAGCGGGCACAGTTTTCTAAATAAAAATGCTTACATCTATATACCAATCGTTAGTTCTTTGTTAGTTCTCGATAGTTCTCTTATATTTACGTTAGTTTTAAAAAAAAATAAAAAAGTTACGAGGCATACAAAGTGAGTACGCTGACTTCAAAATTATAAAATTTCCAGCGGGCACCGTTTTCCGACTAAAAACGCTTAAATCTATATACCAATTTTTAGTTCCATGCATTGTAATTTGATTCATCTTCACACAATGAAAATCAAAGTAACACTGACATTAGAATAACTATCACATTATGATTCTCTCGAAGAGAAAGGATTGCTTATCAGTTCCAGGATAGCGCTTATCTGTGATATCCGCAATAGTAGTTGCAGGTGTCACTCGGTTAGATTATTTTTTAGGAGTGATAATTTTGATTACGTTATCAAAATGATTAACAGTTGAATATGTTCAGTTAATTAGAACATCCAAAAAAGACAACGCTTCCAAAAATTGGTTTTAGATAAGCAATGAAATCATATTTATACCTACTTAGTTGTGTGAAAAAGTGCATTTTATAAAAAGTCCATCATGGAAACAAAATAAACTATCCATCAAAATGAAAACCAGAGTCTGCTAAGTAAAATGGTATAAAGTAATTTATAAGCAGTGATTATTTGAATTGGATTAAGCAGATAAAATATGTACGATCAAAGAACTTCTGTTTGGTTAATTAAACTAATCGTTTGTATTGTTTGTATTTGTTTGTGTTCGGTATTAGTATTATAAAATTACATCATTAAACGTAACACGTTACGAGTGACAGTTGCACGGATCGAGACTGGAAGGTCATACGGACTTGAACAAACTGGAGACTGGAGTAGTGGATGGAATAAATGTGTACAACACATTACTAGCATGGCGTATTGGGTATGGCGGGGTCGAGACAATATTTATTTATTTTATGATATAACCCAGTTACAAGAACAGTTTTAATCAATTAATTACCTTTTTGGTTTTTCTTGCCTTGAAGTTCTTGTTGGTTTTTGATACCTGATGCGCATTTCGCCACAGGTTGTGGCATCTTCAGAGTTCACTATCCTACACTTACATTCTAATATATACACAGTTTATATACACAAGAGTCACTGTACCGGTTCACATGGTAGCGTTTACACTCGCGGCGCGGCGGGCGTGTGTTGCGAGCGCGGGGTGTTTACTTGTGCCGGGATCGTTGTTAGAACAATATTTTATTATTAGAACAACGATCCCGGCACAAGTAAACACCCCGCGCTCGCAACACACGCCCGCCGCGCCGCGAGTGTAAACGCTACCATGTGAACCGGTACAGTGACTCTTGTGTATATAAACTGTGTATATATTAGAATGTAAATGTAGGATAGTGAACTCTGAAGATGCCACAACCTGTGGCGAAATGCGCATCAGGTATCAAAAACCAACAAGAACTTCAAGGCAAGAAAAACCAAAAAGGTAATTAATTGAATATTTATTTAGTTGTATAGTAGTATACTGTAAGCATTTTTCGTTGAATGAAGGTGCGCGCTGGAAATCAGAAGCATTAAATAAGTTTATCTATTGATTATTGGCTATACGTATATTTATTTAATTTTTTTTAAACTAACAAAATAAATGAGTGAGCCCATCTTACGATTAATATTAAGATATAGGCACTTTTAGTCAGACAAGGGTGCACGCTAGGAATGATTTGGGTTTGAGGTTGGCATAACAACGTTTAAGACCTTATTGCCTTTTTATTTTTTAAGAACTAGTAATAATATTGGGGAACTAACACGACATAACGAAGAACTAAAAATTGGTAAATAGATATAAGCGTTTTTAGTCAGAAAACGGTGCCCGCATGAAATTTTATAAATTTGAAGTCAGCGTACTCACTTTGTACGCCTCGTAACTTTTTTATTTTTTTGAGAACTAACGTAAATATTACAGAACTATCGAGAACTAACGAAGACCTAACGATTGGTATATAGATACAGGCATTTATAGTCAGTAAACAGTGCCCGCTGGAAATTCTATAGTTGTGAAGTTGGCGTACCCACTTTTTATGCTTCATAACTTTTATTTTTTGAGAACTAACGTAAATATTGGAGAACTATCGAGAACTAACGAAGAACTAACGATTGGTGTATAGATATAAGCATTTATAGTCAGTAAACAGTGCCCGCTGGAAATTCTATAGTTGTGTAGTTGGCGTACCCACTTTTTATGCTTCGTAACTTTTTATTTTTTGAGAACTAACGTAAATATTGGAGAACTATCGAGAACTAACGAAGAACTAACGATTGGTGTATAGATATAGCCTAAGCATTTATAGTCAGAAAACGATGCCTGCTGGAAATTGTATAGTTGTGAAGTTAGCGTACCCACTTTGTATGCCTCTTAACTTTCTTATTTTTTGAGAACTAACGTAAATATTGGAGAACTATCGAGAACTAACGAAGAACTAACGATTGTTATATAGATATAGGTATTTATAGTCAGAAAAAGGTGCCCGCTGGAAATGGTATAATTGTGAAGTTAGCGTACCCACTTTGTATGCCTCGTAACTTTTTTATTTTTTGAGAACTAACGTAAATATTGGAGAACTATCGAGAACTAACGAAGAACTAACGATTGGTATATAGATATAGGTATTTATAGTCAGAAAAAGGTGCCCGCTGGAAATTGTATAATTGTGAAGTTAGCGTACCCACTTTGTATGCCTCTTAACGTTTTTATTTTTTGAGAACTAACGTTAATATTGGAGAACTATCGAGAACTAACAAAGAACTAACGATTGGTATATAGATATAGGCATTTATAGTAAAAAAACTGTGCCCGCTGGAAATTCTATAACTGTGAAGTTGGCGTACCCACATTTTATGCTTCGTAACTTTTTTATTTTTTGAGAACCAACGTTAATTTTGGAGAACTATCGAGAACTAACGAAGAACTAACGATTGGTATATAGATATAGGCATTTATAGTAAAAAAAACTGTTCCCGCTGGAAATTGTACAATTGTGAAGTTAGCGTACCCACTTTGTATGCCTCTTAACTTTTTTATTTTTTGAGAACTAACGTAAATATTGGAGAACTATCGAGAACTAACGAAGAACTAACGATTGGTATATAGATATAGGCATTTATAGTAAAAAAACTGTGCCCGCTGGAAATTCTATAACTGTGAAGTTGGCGTACCCACTTTTTATGCTTCGTAACTTTTTTATTTTTTGAGAACTAACGTTAATTTTGGAGAACTATCGAGAACTAACGAAGAACTAACGATTGGTATATAGATATAGGCATTTATAGTAAAAAAACTGTTCCCGCTGGAAATTGTACAATTGTGAAGTTAGCGTACCCACTTTGTATGTCTCTTAACTTTTTTATTTTTTGAGAACTAACGTTAATATTGGAGAACTATCGAGAACTAACGAAGAACTAACGATTGGTATATAGATATAGGTATTTATAGTAAAAAAACTGTGCCCGCTGGAAATTCTATAATTGTGAAGTTGGCGTACCCACTTTGTATGCCTCTTAACTTTTTTATTTTTTGAGAACTAACGTAAATATTGGAGAACTATCGAGAACTAACGAAGAACTAACGATTGGTATATAGATATAGGCATTTATAGTAAAAAAACTGTGCCCGCTGGAAATTCTATAACTGTGAAGTTGGCGTACCCACTTTTTATGCTTCGTAACTTTTTTATTTTTTGAGAACTAACGTTAATTTTGGAGAACTATCGAGAACTAACGAAGAACTAACGATTGGTATATAGATATAGGCATTTATAGTAAAAAAACTGTTCCCGCTGGAAATTGTACAATTGTGAAGTTAGCGTACCCACTTTGTATGCCTCTTAACTTTTTTATTTTTTGAGAACTAACGTAAATATTGGAGAACTATCGAGAACTAACGAAGAACTAACGATTGGTATATAGATATAGGTATTTATAGTAAAAAAAACTGTTCCCGCTGGAAATTGTATACATTGAGAAGTTAGCGTACCCACTTTGTATGCCTCATAACTTTTTTATTTTTTGAGAACTAACGAAAAAATTTGGGAACTATCGAGGACTAACGAAGAACTAACGATTGGTATATAGATGTAAACATTTCTCCTCAGAAAACGGCGCGTGCTAGAACCCGGAAGTGTGAAGTTAGCGTACCCACTTATAATCGGCTATAACTTTTTTATTTTTTGAGAACTAACGAAAAAATTTGGGAACTATCGAGAACTAACGATGAACTAACGATTGGTATGATCAAAAGTGGATACGCTAATATGGGTACGCCAACTTCACGGACCTAATGAAACTAGTTCATGGATCAGCCACCAGAGGACTAGTATTGGAGATTGAAAGCTGTGTTTGTTTGAAGATATTTTAGTTTATTCATTTTTGCTACTGAAAAGTAAACATTTGTCGACTTATTGTTTGTTTTATAAAATGTATATTTTTCTACGAATAAAAGAGAAAGTAAGGGGTTATTATTTGATGTTTATCCTCTAACTTCTCTTGGATGTTTGAAACTGATATTATCACATATCTTTTGAGAATATACATAAAATGGTGGGGTGGGAAGCGCTTGTCTTGTACCTTTGACCACTTAATAGTGGTGTTCCTTTGACCAGGTCAAAGGTACAACATCATCTGTATTCAGTGTAGTTATTACTGGTTATGTTTAAATGTATTAATACTAACCCATTGTTTTATGGAACCTACAGGAGTTTGTCGCCAAGCTCCCCAACACTGCCAAATCAAGTGGATGATAAGCAAGTCAAAGAGGATTTTTCAATTTTGCAGTGGACTTTTTATCCTAAAAAGTAGAATAAGCCATTTTTTAATCTTGATGAAGATGAAATGAGTTATAAGTTCAACTTTGTGTATCTGGTTCTATATTTTAATAACTATCATGTAAGATATATATTTGTTTTTTCTACGTGTTTTGGGCTGAAATCGATATGCTGGTCAAAGGTACAACACCCACTGGTCAAAGAGACAACTGCATGTTGAACCTTTGGCCAATGTAATAAATTTTCTTTATTACTAAAAATAGGTTAAAACTCATGACAAGGAACTGGATAAAATATTTATTCTATGGATGATACAGTTAAGTATCATCGTTGATTACTTTTAAATAATTGGAGCTTTCCTGTCTCTACAAAAAAATTTTAAGTGAAAACCGGTCATAAAGGTACAACACTCTCCCCTATTCCCCCCGGGGGGGGGGGATCGTATCAGGTGCTCACTGCTCACTACCACCACCACCACACCACCGACCGTGTGACCGACCACCAGTCAGTCCAGTCCCAGCACAGAAAACATACTATGTTGTCCCAGTCACGGGGCGAAGGCCGACGGGGGGGAGTCGAGTCACCGTTACATATGAAGGTCAATGCCACAGGCTGCCACACAGCTGAGAGAACAGAACCGCTTTGTTGTTTTATTGTTCTCTCTGACCTTCATTTGCCGCATCCTGCCCTGTCACAGTCACATCACATCAGTTAATTTTCATACTGTATTCCAGTCCCTCTCCCTCAACTGGCCAATTTAACCTCAACTCAATCAAACTTACTTCGTTTTCTTCCTCAGTTTCCACATTAAGTTCTCGTACTCGTGAAACTTCATTTGAACTAATCAAACAATATACTCTTACAACTTTCACATCCAGTGCTTTATTGTTACTCACAGTTTAGCTACAAGACAAGACAGTGTTATTGAGTGTGTTCAGTGATTGTCTAACATCAAAATGGAATTTGGGCAATTTGTGGTGGAGGCGACCCCTGCGAGTCTAGAAGAATCAGAGAGATTGCAGAACTTATCAGAAAGTCAAGTTGCTGAAGATTATCTACGAAACCCTCCGCTTCCAGTCAACCAGGAAATCACCATCGACAAACTAGGGATACTCAACTTCAACTTGATCACAAAAGAGCATAATGGTTTGTTGCGATATGGTGCGCTGAGGATCAAGAGACCAGACCTGTTTCCGGAGGCTAAAGATCCTGAGTTTGACTACACAGATGAAGAACAAGTGTCACCAGTTATTGTTATCAGTGGTGATAAGAAGTACAGAACTGATCAGCTGTTGTGGTTTCCGCTGTCAGACGCCATTGCTGGTATCACCATGCGACAAGGGGTTATTAGAAAGAAACTGCTTCCCATCAAGGTAATGATAGATGAGAAGAATCAGTGGGTAGCCCGCTTGCTGAATCTGGGTAGGGCTACATAACATGCGAATGCAGTTGAAAATGGTCTGCTGCAGACCATTTTCAAACACTACTTTTGACTTTTCACTTCAGTTTATTATAAATTGTAATTTGTAGGTAACTTAAGCTATGCTGTTTATTGTAAAATAACTTTTAAGGAAATTTTATTTTTTATATAAATATTTTGTATGATCCCTTAAGTCTGCCAAAAATAATTGTTTACATGTAGGCATAAAAAAAATACAGTATTTTGAAAGTAATTTCGCAACTAAAGTTACTGTAATAACAGAACATTTTTCAAATGTGGGGCTAATGTAATATGACCGATGGTTGCTACCTTTTACGTATTTAAAATTTGTATATGCTACCTTTTGCATTTTAAATTTGTATGCTAGGTACCTTAACTTACCAATCATAGCCTATTTAGAGTTACTGTTTTTTCTTTGTCAAATGTAAAATTTTTTGTCTGTCAATTCAGTTCTATGAAGTTAGCGTACCCATTAGCGTATCCACTTTTGTTCACAATCATTAGTTCTCGATAGTTCCCCAATATTATTGTTAAGTTAGTTCTCAAAAAATTAAAAAAGTTATAGGCTAGCTGGCTGATAATAAATGGATATATACGCTAACTTCACACTTCCGGTTTCTAGCGCGCACTGGATTCAGATGAAAAAAATGGGTATAGGTGGGTAGGTACATTTATATACCAAATGTTATTTCTACGTTAGTTCTCGATAACTTAGTTCTCCAATATTGTTGCCAGTGCTCCAAAAATAAAAAAATACAAGGCATAAAAAGTGGTTAACGTATGCTACTTTAACTGTTGAGGATTTTAATTAGTAGGCTATTACTTTAGTTGTACTTTTTAATCAAATATCTTTTTATATCAGCTGCTTTATATTATTATGTTATTCTAATGTTCACAGTGATAAGAAGTGTTAATGTTTTAATATTTTAAAATTTTATTTCAATTACCTATTAATAAATTAAGACTTTTTGTATTGTATTCCCTCATTTCATCAAGAACTAAGAATTGGTACGTAGACGTAAGCATTTTTCATCAGAAAACGGTGTCCGCTGGAAATTCTGTAATTATGAAGTTAGCGAAACCACTTTTTATGTCTTGTTTTAATTTTTAGAGCACTAGCAACAATATATTGGAAAACTAAGGAGAACTAACAAAAAAACTAACGATTGGTATAGACGTAGGCTATAAGAATTTCAGAAAAACTGTGCCTGCTGGAAATTCTTTAGGTGTGAAGTTGGCGACGTTGGCGTAACCACGTTTAATGCCTTATAACTTTTATTTCTGTAGAACTAACAACAATATTTGAGAACTATCGAGAACTAACGTTTGATTTATAAAAGTAAGCATTTTCATCTAAAAACAGTGCATGCTAGAAATCGTAAGTGTGAAGGTCTAAACTTAAACTTATAACTTTTTTTATTTTTTGAAAATTAAAGAAAATATTGGGGAACTATTGACAACTAACGAAGAACCAACGATTGGTATATGAACAAAAGTGGAAACGCTAACTAATTTAACTAAACTAAATTAACGCTATGGGTATAACGCTAACTTCACTGACCTGGTCAATTCTTGCAAATTAAACCTTCTTATGAACATAGAAAGAACAAAAGCCCCAATGCAATATAATTGTAAACTTTTCTTATTTTAAGTCATGATTTATTTTTGTAACCACTAACAACTTCAAAGTTTTTAGAAATGATCAAACTTAAATATTTTAGCGTTCAAGAGTTATTGTTATCAATAAAATAATAGCTGGTCTTTTAACTCAAAATACTTGTAGGCTGGTACTCTTGGGCAAATTGGTACTTTCATATTATACGGAGGCCACCCTTATACAGCACGCTGCGGCGGTTATGTTAGGTTGTGTTATCATAAATATGTTTGTAGAACTTATTTCCTCGTTTCGTTATGAATCTAACGATACCTGATGAGTCATACTTTTGCCTGCCAACCCCCCTCCCCCCCAAGTAGGCCAAGGTCAGGTCGTTGACTGGAGCGCGCGCGTCATCTTTCACCACCTGTATCTGGGTCAGTGTCCTGAGTGATGACTCATCTGGTTTTGTTCGATTCATAACAAAACGAGGAAAGTCCTTCAAACATATTTAACCCAACCTAACATAACCGCTGCAGCGCGCTGTATACCTACCTGGTGGAGTACATGTGGCAGCTATAGTTGTAGCGACACATTCAACTCAATCCTCGCCGATATCGCTGCCTTCTGGGAGGCAGAACTCAAAGGCCGATAATCGTAATCAAGTCAATTTTGGACAGTAAGTCAATTAAAGTATATTCTTCCAAATTATGTAGTTAATATTGGTCTCCAATAAAAAAAAAACCTCAAAAATAAGTGGCCTCCGTATAATACGAAAGTACCGGCATGTTTCTCTCTGGCATTTTGTTGTCTACCTGTTGTACCTAATTGTTTGAATTGATGGTTAATAAATATGTACCTATAGGTATTTAAAATTTACTATGATGTGTTTTTTTTTTTGTTTAACAGTCCCTTAAAAATCAACAGATAGGCCTACATATAGGCAGTAGGTGAAATTATATTTTGAACATAAATGCAGAGCTAGCAAAGTTATAAAAACAGAAATAACTTTTTTAAAGTTGTAAGTCCGCTAGGCCTAATAAATTTAATAAAACTAAAACTATTCATAAAAGTTGATAAAATATATTAGTAAACTGTGATAAACTAAAATTTATAATTAAAGCAAAAATGATTCAATTTTGATTAAACTTTGGTATAAACGTTTTAATCTAAGTTATCCTATATTTATTCAAACGATTTTGCAAACCAGCATGCTTGGACCATGGAAATTGTTTTTTTTTTTTTTAATTAAAGAAAATAACTAACTGTTGATTCATGAAGGAATTGTATTAAGACATCTTGCTATGTTCACATCTAATCTCATATTATCTATATCTATACTAATATATAAATACCCCCGCTGCAGCAAACCTGCAGACTAAGCGAATTTCAACTTGTCTGATTACATTTTTACTAAAATATTTCCATAAATAAGACATATTATTCCCTATTTGAATAAAATTAGATTTAATGAGTGCTTAGGTTTGCTGCTACAGGGAAGGTAAAAAGTGTTTTTTGACCATACGTCAATAGTATAGGATGAAATGAATAAATTTGCCAAATTTTATCAATATAGATCCATAAACAAGTAAACTACAACAATTTTAATTTTCTCCATAAGATTGGGAATTTTAAATTACACTATTTTTTAATTTTCTCTGTGACCGTTAGGCATACAACAGCGTTTCAATACACTAAATTATTTCTTTTTTTAAGCTCTACAAAACGGTTTGAAAAGAAATTGCAAACTTTTTTGTTTTTAGGGTCAAAAATGGGAAACCCCCCCCCCCTGCGCCCAGGTTAGTTTGTTCTTGGTATCACCTTCTGTTACGCCACTGCTTAGTTCTTCTGTGGCTTTCAGGGTTTTCAGCTAATCGAGTTGTTGCTTCGTTGTAAATGTTGAGAACTGACACACTCTTCAGTGTAGTTATCTCTTCCAAAAGTCGTTTCAGCCAAACGATTTCACGACAGGCTTCACTCGCTACAACAATTTCAGCTTCAGTGCTTGAGATAGCCACACTTGATTGTTTCTGACTTAGCCAGGTGATTACTAGTGCAGACTCTTCATATCGAACGCTCCTCTTCCTCACTCTCGCTTATCGTTACCAGAGGAAATCAATCATCAAATACTCGTCGTGTAGTGTCCCTTAACATAGGAAGTCCAACTAATGACAAAGTCATATGTTAAAAGCTCATATACTGCAAAAACTCACTGCTAAGCTACCTTCTATGACACCAGGTAAATCCAATTGGCCTCATATCAAGAAGTTTCAACTAGCTGATCATGACTTCATGACTCCTGGGCCTGTAGATTTGATACTTGGAGCTGATGTTTATGGAAGTATCATTCATCCTGGACTTATCAAGGGTCCGCCTCACTCCTATTGCTCAATTAACCATCTTTGGTTGGGTGTTATCTGGGCCAAGTGGATTTATCATCAATGACAATAAATCATCAATGTATTATTGCCTACTGGAGAACAAAGTAGATGATTTACTTCAGAAGTTTTGGGAACAGGAGGATTTTGCCAAAGATCCAGTTCATGTTTTGTCTCCTGAAAATCAAACGTGTGAATAACACTTTCAATTGACGCACTCTAAGACTGATATAGCGTAAAGGAGTCTGCCAAAAATCCTGAATCTGACAACCTCATTCGCCAGAAATACTGAAGACATCTACTGGAATGGTTTAGTACCATGTCCGTAAAAACTATTGTTAAATCTAAAATAATTTTGTTTCAAAACAGTCACGAGCAATTTTACAATCTGGAATGACATATTCATTGTCTAAATTATTCTGTACTAAAGTAGCGTTCGCAGAGGCTTCCACAAAATTGAGTGGAGTCATCAGGGTTCATACTATGACCTTGTCTATCGAACTTCATAGTTATTTTTACCTTCAATTTTAAGTGAATACAACATTTGTGTAGAGATAAATATTGGGGTAATTAGATTGGATACACATTGTTTTGTAGTGAAGTGGAGTAAAAAACACAGAGATATAATTTCAGATCTTTCCGGAAACCTACATTTTGACTTTTAAGTTTAAAACCCCTTGGTTGGTCATCAACTTTTTCTCAAACAAGGCGGTACAGTTCCAGCCAGTGATAACCTAGAAATCAACCATAACAGTTTCGGATTCAAACCTTTTGGCTACTAATAACTGCATAAGAGGTTTTCATGTGATGGTGATAATATAAGTGAAAAAACTAAATATAAGGTATTCTCTTAAATCTGAAACCTTCATAACTCCTAAAACATAACTAACTAGCCAATTTTCTTAATGTTCTTAGTAAAAAAATGAAACATGTTTTTTTGCAATATAAAATTTATAGATTGACTTGAATGAATTCTAATCCGACTTTATTTTGATTTTGATGAATGTGA